GGGAGAGAGGAGGAGCTAATCGGTGATTGGTGGAGCTGGCCTGAGCTTCCGTGTGGGGCAGGTATTTCCACGTGGGCGTGGCTTGAGCTTTCAGGGTCCTTCCCAATTACTTAATTCCTGCTCCTTATTTTACATATATTTGCATGATGAAAAATACTTACTCTGGTCTTATTGGGTCATTGTAGGTGGAGGGGAGCTAAGTCGGGCCTGTTTCAAGCCTGCCTCCTTTTTCATGCCTTTTTTCTTATTTTTAGAGACAGGGATCGCTCTGTAGCCCAAACTAGAGTGCAGTCACGCGATGATGGCTAGTCGTTACAGCCTGGAATTCCTGGACTCAAGCGATCTCTCACATAGCTGGGACTACAGGCGATAACGATAGCCACCACATCAGGCTAAACCAGCCTTGTTTCTTTCCTTCTTTTTTTATTTTTTCGAGACGGAGTCTCACTTTGTCACCAGGCTGGACTGCAGTGGCACGATCTCGGCTCATTGCGACCTCCACCTCCTGGATTCAAGCGATACTTCTGCCTCAGCCTCCCCAGCAGCTGGGACTACAGGCACGCATCACCATGCCCAGCTAATTTTTGTATTTTTAATAGAGACGGATTTCACCATCTTGGCAGGATGGTCTCGATTTCTTGACCTCGTGATGCACCACCCTCGGCCTCCCAAAGTGCTGGGGTTACAGGGGTGAGCCACCGCGCCCGGACTCCTTTTTATTTTTTTTCAGTCTGAGTCTCGCTCTGTCGCCCAGGCTACTGGTGTCTTCTTTCTTAATGCACACTTCCCCCTTATCCCCAGAAGCATTTATTTATTTTTATTTTTTGAGACAGAGTCTTGCTCTGTCGCCCAGGCTGGAGTGCAGTGGCTCAATCTCGGCTCAATGCAACCTGTGCCCTCCGGGGTTCAACTGCCTCAGCCTCCCAAGTAGCTGGGAATACAGGCATACGCCACCATGCCTGGATAAATTTTTTTTGTTTTGTATTTTTAGTAGAGAGGGTTTTTGTTTTTTTCTGAGAGTGTCGCTCTGTTGCCCAGTCTGGAGTGCAATGGCATGATCTCAGCTCACTGCAACCTCCACCTCCCGGTTTAAAGCAATACTCCTGTCTCAGCCTCCTGACTAGCTGGGATTACAGGCACGTGCTACCTCGCCCAGCTAAATTTTGTGTTTTTAGTAGAGACGAGGATTCACCATGTCAGTCAGGGTGCTCTCAAACTCCTGACCTCGTGAACCGCCCATCTCGGCCTCCCAAAGTGCTGGGATTACAGGCAAGCCACTGTGCCCAGCTAGAGATGGGTTCTTGCCATGTTGTTAGGCTGGTCTTGAACTTCTGACCTTGGGTGATTCATGTGCCTTAGCCTCTCAAAGTATTGGATTACAGGCATGAGCCACTGCACAAGGCCAGCCCCAGAAGTATTATTAATTTATTTATTTATAGACAGAATCTCACTCTGTCGCCCAGGCTGGAGTGCAGTGGCACGATCTTGGCTCACTGCAACCTCCACCTCCCAGGTTCAAGCGATTCTTCTGCCTCAGCCTCCCGAGTATCTGAGACTACAGGCGCATACCATCACGCACAGCTAATTTCTGTATTTTTAGTAGAGATAGGGTTTCACCATCTTGTCCAGGCTGGTCTGGAACTCCTGATCTCGTGATCCACTCGCCTCAGCCCCCCAAAGTGCCGGGATTACAGGCATGAGGCACCACACCCGGCCCCTCAGTTTATTTTTATTTTTATTTTTATTTATTTATTTATTTATTTATTTATTTATTTATTTTTTGAGACGGAGTTTCGCTCTTATTACCCAGGCTGGAGTGCAATGGCGCGATCTCGGCTCACCGCAACCTCCGCCTCCTGGGTTCAGGCAATTCTCCTGCCTCAA